AAACTGCGGCCACCTGGTGGTCGAGGCGACGCGAGCCATTGTCCGGAGCATGCAGGCTGAAAAGAAGTGATGATCTTCCGAGTCTCTTTCTCTTTTTCTCCCTCTCATTTTACCTAACATTTTTGCTGGCCAACTGATGTCTTTAAAGCAAATAACAAAAATGGCAAAAGTTTTACTTTTTATCACAAGCAGTAGGAGTGAAAGAGTTTAAGGAAAAAGGGATGAGAGCGTTAGCTTGCGAAGATGTCAGATATGGGCGGAGGCTAAAAAGTTTCGTAGAGAAGTACCATTTTGCGGAGATGTCAGGTCCCTGGACCCTGGAGTCAACAGAAGAAAAGAAAGCACATCAACAACAATTGCCACCAACAGTCGACCGTTGAATTCTCTCACCAACAACAAAATGGCAGGCACTCCAAGAAGAGAAGGGCAGCCACTGCAAGGAAACATCACTGGGCACATCACGCCACTGAAAAGCGACCTCGTCGTGATCATCGGCGAAGAGCAAATTCCCGTCCACAAGGCGCTCCTCGCCGCCCGTTCGCCCGTCTTTGCGGCCATGTTCCGCCACAAGGACACCAAGGAAGCTCAGGAGAGTCAGGTGGTGATCAGCGATGTTCACGCTGAGGTCTTCAAAGACATGCTGCAGTACCTGTACACCGGCGTCAAGCCCAAGTGCGGCCGCCTGACCACCGAGCTGCTGACACTCGCTGACAAGGTAAACTTGCGTGCTGCTGTTGTTGTTTACCTTGTTGACAAAACGTTTTTGCTCTTCTCACAACCAAAACAGTACCAGGTAGAAGAGCTGAAGGAGAACTGCGAGGAGTACCTGTCCACGAGCCTCTCGGTGGACAATGTGGTGTCCTACTTGCGAGTTGCCCACCTGCACAGCGCCGCCGTCCTCAAGGAGAGCTGCCNTGCTGAAGTGGTGAACACCTCTGGCTGGAAGGAGCTCTGCATGAGCGGAAGCAGTGGTGAGCTGATGTTCGAGGCCACGCAAGCCATTGCCAAGTACATGCAGGCTGAAAAGAAGTGATGATTTTCCAAGTCTCTTTCTCTCTCTTTGTCTCCCTCTCATTTTACCTAACATTTTTGCTGGCCAACTGATGTCTTTTTAAGCAAATAACAAAAAATGGCAATAGTTTTACTTGTTTTTTTTGTTCACAGCAGCAGTAGGAGTTCAGAGAGTTGAAGGGAAAAAAAGCGGGATGAGAGAGCGTCAGATTGCGAAGATGTCAGATATGGGCGGTGGCTAAAAAGTTTCGTAGAGAAGTACCATTTTGCGGAGATGTCAGGTCCCTGGACCCTGGAGTAGTCAACAGAAGAAAAGAAAGCACACATCAACAACAATTGCCACCAACAAAGTGTTGACCGTTGGATCCTCTCTCACCAACAACAAAATGGCAGGCACTCCAAGCAGAGAAGAGCAGCAGCCACTGACCGACCTCGTGGTGATCATCGGCGAAGAGCGAATTCCCCTCCCCACCTGTGTGTTCCTCG